GATGTCGCAGCAAGGAGACGCGGAGGTAATTGTTTCAAAGAAAGGATTTTGTAGTACGGCAGTCTGGCAGTATTTCGGTCATGGCAAGTCGGACAAAAAACAAACCACAGTCATCTGTAATGTATGTGTCGGGAACCAGTGAAAACCAAGTCTGATAACACAACCAACTTTTTTTTTATCATCTCAGCCGCTCACACCCGCAGGAGTACGAGCTGTGTAGGCCCCGACGCGGCTCTCCTCCGAGGAATCTTCGGGAATTTCGGGAAAATATATATATTATATTCAGTTCTGGGCAGTTTCCCACGTAGTTCTAACAATTGAGAGAAAAATGCTGAGGGGCCAGAAACTTGGAACCTGAACCTGGTTCAGCTTAGAAGAATGGGGGCGGTGGCGGTGGGGGTGGGGGGGGTGTCCATTTATTTAGTTGTTATATTTATTTTGGTCAATTTTTTTCTGGTCACTTTAGTTTATTCTTTGTAAGTATTTAATAACATAACTCAGGTCTCTTAAGTTATTTTTCTTTAAAACAATTCTGTTATGGTTAAAAAGTTGCTTAAATAAAGATTTAATTCGAACTCTGTGTTTGTGTTCTTTATTAAAATTAAATCATTTAGCAATATTATAAAAAGTCCAGGCAGAGCTGCACATAAAATATGGTTTCAAATCTTTTCAATAATTATCGATATCGATCAACATGCATTTTTTTTTAATCGATAAGCTTTTTTTCTATATCGCCCAGCCCTACTTCCCAGTGATAACGGAAGCGACCCTTCCTCAGAGCACCTGTGGCTTCAGAAGGAGGCAAACCCGTAAAAAGTTTAACAGAAAAAACACCACCACCTGGACACCTATATGCATATTTTGACAGAGTCAGCAAATGAAAATCAGTATAACCAGGACACTTTTAGTGAGCTAAAGTTATGAATTATTTTTAGAAAAGATCCCGCTCCACTAGCCAGGCCTAAACACACTTGTACATCGAGACTTTTCTTTAAAATTTCAGGAAGCAGCCCCCCCACCCCAAAAAAAAAAACGCCCAAAAACATTCCTATTTGTACTAAAGGTAAATTATTTAACCTTATCCATGCTTATCCATCCACATTTTCTTAAACCCCATCATATTTTTGCCTAATGTACTGCTTTACTTTTATATGACAATTACTTTGACCTGAAAGGTTTCTAAACACAGGATGATTCCATTCCCTGCATAAATAACCATTAGCCTATGTAAAGATGACTAACGCAGTTTGTCAAATGTGTTAATAAAATAGTCATTGCATAAATTTATAGTTTATTCTATCAAAGTTGCTTTAAAACCGTAGAAGTCTGCTATGCATGCTGTCCCCTTTTAGAGAAGCCTTTGCTTTGATTTTCTGAAACCCAACTAAGCTGGATTTCTACTAAATGAATATCTACTGCAGGTAAGATATTGCAGGACTGACCTGGCCCAGGGCTGATCTGGTTGTCATAGAGGTGGATGTCTTCTCCACAGGCGATCGGTAAGTCCTGTCCTTCCTCTCGGCACTCGCTGCCCTCCTCTTGCTCCACCTCCCGCTGCTCTGGGGACGCAACAACACAGGATTTCTGGTTACCAAGCCAGGCTTCTATCACACTGACATTTTGGTTCTTATTACCAGAAAAACAGGCAAATACAACAAAACATTCCAACAAACTACAGATATCATTATAAAAAAAACAAACAAAAAAAAACTTTAAAGGTTGTTATAGTCTACATTTGAAAATGTTTCTTTTGCTCTGAGACTGGAATTAAAGATCCTGCTGTTACCTGCTGTCCCTGTTCTCCAGTAAAAATTTTTGTTTAATAGCTTCTCTTCAAGTTCTCCTCACATAAAAACACTAGCAGCCAGTTTTCTCACATATATTATTTTTCCCAAATCATATTTTTTATGTATTTCATATTTTTTATTTTTTTTGTTTTTTTTTTTTTCAATACACATTATATATTTTTAAAGTTAAGTGTTTTAAAGATTGTTTCCATAAGATTTTATATTTTCTGTCTTTTAGATTAAGTTTTATGAATTTCATTCTTTTCAAATTAAATGTTCCCGATCACATTCTTCTCACTGTTGAGGATGGGCTTTCCTCTTGATTGGAGACGAAAGACTAATTTAAATTGCTCTGCGTGGATGTTAGCAGCCTTCTTATTTGTCATTGCGAGCATCAGGAGTGAGTGTTAGTACTGGGTTTAAAGTGGAGAAAATGTGATCTGTGAAATGCAACTTGAAAATAATGCAATTTGTAAAACACAATCTGAGAAACTAATTTAAAAAAAAAATGATAAAATATAAATTCTGGAGGGGGGGGTGGTGGAAATAGAGTAAGGAAAATATGAAAAAGGCATTTAATTTTTTTTATCAAAGTATATTCTGAAAGAAAACAGCAAAGCCACTCTTATGTAATTTGTCCTTTAACCCTCGAGATGTTCTTCAGGTTATAGAAGGCTGAATTGCTGACTGACTTTTTGAGCCTGATGGTTCAGGTCTGAGTCCATCACTACACCAAGATTTAGAGCCTGATTAGGTCTAGATTTCTCAGGCATTTTGTCCTCTCTGTGTTTCTGAATTTAGAGTGAGGTTTGTTTTAAACTACACTTTCCTGCTTCACTAAAGATTCGAGTTTTTCTTATTATGAGCAAAATTTATCAAAGCACAGATGCTAAATGTAATTAACACCACAAAGGTTGTGATGACATATGTTTTGAGATTAAAATGCTAAATTACTTACTGCCAAAGACCAACACAAAACACAAAGAAAATGATTGGAGTTGAAGGGAAGATAAATTGAGCCAACTACAAGAGACTCAGGAGGAGGCTCCTCTCCCAACAGACAATAATTCTGAATATATGCCCAGACTTACAATTGGACGCTTCAGATCTGAGGTCTAAATTCTATTCCATTTGATGCAAAAGTACTTTATTAATCCCTGAGGGAAATTGAATATTGAGGCGACACATAGGATTTTTTTAACCAGTTTTTGTGGCTGTAGGGAGAAAGGTTCTTCTATAGTGGTCTGTATAGCACAGGCTCTGAAGAAGCCTCTAAAAGAAGACAGTCTGTTGCTGTTTAACAATCTTATTTCTATTTGTTGTCCATGTTCTTCACTGAAGAATTCTTTTAGTGAAATCATTTGCAGAGAATCCAGAGGAGTTTCTTTTGCATTAGCTTGTTTAGATTCTCTAAGTATTTTTTTCTGATGCTGTCACCCCAGCAGATGATGCAATGATCTGTTGATCTGGATTTTTGGTTCTGTTCAAGTTTTCACTTTGGGTTTTCAATTAAACTTATATTTATGTCATTCTGTGTTCGATGACACTAAATGGAAATGGAACCAAGTTATTTTCTAGCTATATTTAAGTACGTTTGTATTTTGTGGTTACTCTCTGTTGTCCCCTAGCCCCCTCTCTAGATAATTGTGTCCACACATGCTCCCAATCAGCTGATTACTCGATTCATTGTTCTGTTTGGCATAAATACTCCTACTCTGCAGTAATGTTTGCTGGATTCTCTTCATTCCCTCCTAAAGTTTTGTACCTTCTGTTTTGGTTCCTGTATCCCCTGGTTAGTTATTTCTTGATTTATGCTTGTGTTTCCACCAACCTCATCATTAAATCTGCAAGAAACCATTTCTCCCTTTGTCACTGCATTTTGGTCATCTACAAAGCTCGCCCTAACTGACAGGTGATGCCAGAAGAGATCACACACACACACACACACACACAACAGACTGAAGGAAGATATGCAGCATCTTGCTGCAAACACTGAAGAACTTAGGCTTCCTAAAGAAGTCCAGTCTGCTTTGCCACTTCGGCTTCACAGTTGCATCTCCAGTGGAGTTTGTTGAGAAAATCCGATCGTGCTCATTTATAGGTCAACAAACGTCAAAAAAAAATTTATTTTGATATACCCTCTGTGATTGTATTTGGTCAGTGCAACATGATTTAAACCTTGTGCAAACTAAGCAACTCATCGCTAGAGCTGAAACAATTAAAAATATTGGTAAAATAATTATAAAAACAGTTTCTGTAAATAACCCAATTAAAGCAGTAATTAAAATGAAAACTTCACAAAAAAAAAATGCTTACATTTCCATATAGGATTGAACATTTTCATAATACGTATATGTAGGCACTGTATAGTGTAATCTTGAACATGTTTTGAACATTCATAATTCATTACAAATTCACAATAGAGGATATTTATTTTCTAAATTACTTTATTTAGAAATGTTAGCTTATTAAAAACAATTCTTTTTAAATTTATCAAACAAAATATTAGATGAAATAATCAATTTCTCTTCCAACTTATCTTCAACATTTGCATTTGGGAATAGAGCAGAGGTAACTTGGTTTGCCATCGTTTGTCACATTGTGGTTTGGGGCAGAAGAGACAAGAACTAGACAAGAAATTCATATGATTGAAACTGAACTCCAGGATATTTTTTTTGAAATGCACAGTAGTGTACAACAGTGTTATTGTTTTCCAAAAACAGCTAAATTATTCCTTCTGCAGAGGTTTTTGCTCACTGTCACGTGACGTAAACATAAACCATTTCCAGACAAACGTTAGCCAAAAATTGCTGCTTATGACTAGTTTGCAGCCATACAAACTGTAAAACGCTGTAAAAACCACCTTTTTTGGGCAAAATGCTAATGAAAGATAAGGGATGAGTCTGACGTTCTATTCTCAGTCTATTAATCTATTCTCCTGGCCCTAATATAACAATGTCAGTGTAAATAAATCTGGGGTGTGTATGCTTGAATGTCAGAACAAAAGAAAAATTAATATTCAGTAGGCAACTTTTAATTATAACATGAATGGCAGCCACATTTATCATGCTAAGGGACCGCAGCCTATGATACAACAATATGTTCTAGTGTCTAAAAACGGTGCATCTTGTATCACTGGAGGCAAAGCAGTTTTGTGTACAAGTGTGTATTTAGTGAGATTGTAATGGACCCAACCAATTTCAAATTATTAATTTAAGTTATTTTAAAACCAGTTATCAACACACAGGACTACACGGGGGAGCAGTGGGTGGCGCTGCTGCCTTGCATTAAGAAGGCTCTGGGTTAGATCCCTGGCCTGGGGTCTTTTTGTATGGAGTTCTAATGTTCTCCCTGTGCATGCGTGGGATATCTCCGGATACTCCGACTGTTAGGTTAATTGGATTCTCTAAATTGTCCTTAGTTGTGAGTGTGTGCGTGCATGGTTGTGTGTCTTTGTGTGTCTAAACATGGCATTCATCCTGTATACCTAACTATGCCCAATACAAAACAGTCAACTAAAGATAAAGGTGTACTAGTCAAGTTTAAAATGTTTTATTTTCTTTCCAAGCCCTTTCAATTGCCTGATGTGTAAAATTAGCTTTCCTCTGGCTTTGACACACACTAGGTCAAACTCATCAATTGACGCATTAGTAAAAATACTTGGGTGACTGTTTTCAAAAATAGCAATAAAAGACCAGCCACATTTTACCTTAAACCCATCACAGACTCCCTGACTTGAAGGGATCTGCAACCTTTAAAAATCAAAGATCCATTTAGCCCCGAGTCCAACTAAATAAAATTCGTTTAGAAACCTAATATTACATCACCTGGTAATAAAACACTATTATTTTTGTGAAATATCTGCTGTTTTTACAGGTATTGTAATTATAAACAGAAGTAACATCCCTTTATGCTGATTGGTCAGTTGTACAGTATGTATGCATATATGATTTTTTTTTCTGAATTACACTTTTTATTTAAACTCAAACTACTGTATGTGGTGACTTTAAAATGACCTTGAAAAAGGCCATAAGCAGAAACACGGTCCCAATTAAAGTGTGGTCCTCGACTTAAAGTGCATGGATTTTCTTCCTATTGGATAATAATTAAATAAATAAAAAAACAGTTTCCAAGCTAATGCCAAGAAAAAAAAAATACATATATTAAAACCTACTTCTGGTTATTTTAATGCTGTTAGCACTTTATCTGTTGTAAAATTAATTTCAAATATTTACAAACCAACTAAAACTGAAAGCTGTTACTATACTAAACCATTAGTTGGTTCTTCATCATCATTAAGCCACTGTAAAGAGCCACTGTAGAGGGTCCAGAGAGCCACTTGAGGCACCATAGCCACAAGGTTTCAGATCACCAGACTCTAGTGAGACTTAAAGGGCCAAATTGGAGTCTTACTAGCAGACATGTTACTGTACTTAAGTACACTTTTAAAGGTATCTATACTTTACTCCATTACTTATTTTTCTTCCTACTTATGACTTCTACTGTACTAATTACATTTTCACACAGGTATCTGTACTTTATGTTCCTTAGATTTTTAAAACAAACGTTTCTTGTTACTCTTGGCTTTGGTTTTATGTTTATAAATATTTCACATCATGTGCGCCATCCACATCTAGTGAAAACTAGTGGAATTGGATGAGTCATAGAACGCAAACACTCATTGGTTAGCTAAAGGAAATCCTCAGAAGCAAGCAGGTGTTCTTCAAACTGTAAACGTGAATTGTCTTTGCCAGGCTACAATGTCGGATTAA